CGCCCGGCCCCGGGCCCCGGCGCGATTGCCGCAGTGCAGGCCCGGCGGGGCTGGGGGAGCCAGCCGGGGTCGTCTCGGACGCAGCCAGGGTCCGGCTCTGTAAGGCTGGGCTGGGCTGAGCCGAGGTCGCGGGGCAGCTCCTGCCTCGGGCAGGGCCGCGCTGGAGCTGCCTGTGCCTGTCCGGCCCCGTGGCCGGGCGCAGGCGTTGCGAGCTGCCCCGCGCGGAGCACGTGGGGAGGCCGGGCGGGGCCGAGAAGTCTGCGAGTTCCTCCGACGGTCCGGCTCCTCTGGTTGCCCCGGGCCCGGCGTGTCCCAGCGGCCCCTCCCAGAGCATTGTTTTGCAAAACTCATTCCAGCTTTGCATAAAACTGACCCATGTCGCGACTCTGATGCTTCCCAGCTTGTCTCGCTTGCCTGTTGTTCATGTCGGCTAGCGCGTGCCCGTGTGAACTTCCTTTGGGAAGTTTCTGGGCCGCTTGGTTTCTTAGTAGCTATGTGCACAGCATGAACTCGAGTTGTAAGTGGAGAGAGGATGAAAGACAGGACAAATGTAATAGCTTCCTGAAGAGCAGCGTAGAGGGTGATCCCAAGAAAGCAGGTTGCAAGGTTATTTGGCCAAGTGGTTTCTGAATATACAGCCCCCAATGTGCCTTGCTCATAAGATGTTCTAGGGTCTCCCAGCATTTTGATGCGTTAGTTGGAAGTCTGTAGAGGTTGTAGCAATGCTGGGTACGTAGAGGCATGGCCAGGTGATGGGCACAGTGAGAGAAGGGGATGGGATGGGAGTGGATGAAGGGAGAAGGGGTTTTATAACACAGCTGTACAGTAACAAACGGTGCATATGGGGGTCTTAGCAAAGAAGAAGGAGCTCTGTTATCAGCAGACATTTGACAGGGGCTCAAGAGGCAGCACATCAGGTGAATTGAAAGTGGTGGTTGCCACTAATTTCAATGGGAAGCTTGTACCCAGAACCACAGGCAAAACTAATTTAGGGCCCATTTAGGCATCCTGAGGCCTGCTATTTGCTATGGGTCAGTTCCCCACTGGGGCGGGGAGGTGCCAGCTTCTCATTGGCACTTGGTAGGATGCTTCTCTTCCCACCCCAGAGCCTGGCTGGTGTCTGCAGCTGGTCAGGACAGGCCGCGAGGCATGTGTCCTCTGGCAGCACTGGAAGTGGAGGAGGTGGTTCCAGGGCTCAGAGGGCCTGCGCTGGAAGTAGGGATCCTTCTCCTGTTTGAGGAGGGTCTAGGCATAGCGGTGCTATGTTTGTTATGGGTATTTTCTGTGCTTCTAGGCTTTGCTAGTTGCCCCTGCTTTCTGCTACATGAGTACATGAGTCTGCATGTTTTTAATCCTTTCTCAGAGGCATTGGGTGTTGGCTGCAGCCAAGGCCGGGGACTTTGACTGGGGTGTGCCAGTGCTTCTGCTGGGACCAAAGGTGGAGGCTCCTGGTTAGAGGGTTCTTGCCCCTCTGCTCAGGGTCAGACTGCCCCCGTATTTGGGGTCAAGAAGGAATTTTACGCCATGGTCAGACTGAGACGGATGGGGGAGTGTGCCTTCCTTTGAAGCAGTGGCAGGCCTCTACTCACAACGTCTTGAGCATATATTAACAACATGTCATAGACATGATGTCTGCAGGTCCCTTCCAGCCCTACTGCACTAGTTTTTCATGACCTTTCATGTCTTTATGTCCTGCCAAGTTGACAAGAACCATGGTGGTTCAAGGCAGACCTCAGAGCTATAGGAAATGCTTGATTAGAAAGAGCAATGGGCATGATGGAAGGAACACTGGAGCAGGATGGGGCATCTGAGTGTTTGCAGGATGTGGGGGTTTGCACTTCTGCATTGGGGAGTTGCCTGGGAACAGTTAGCACAGTGAGAGATGTGAGAACTTTGTCTGTGCTCTCAGATCATGTCCCACTATGGTTGGCTCCCCCTGAAAAATGGTCCCCGCTACTTCTGTGCTCATTCCTGCACTGTTACAGCATCATTTTCCAAGCCCAAGTCTGTTTCTGTCTGTGGAGGGAAGGATCAAGGTTGCACTGAACAGGCAGAAAAGGACAAGGTGCTGTGATTATGTGGAGTCAAAGTGCATTTTCCCAGCACGGGAGCCTTTCTCAAGTAACCAAGACAACTTTAACTTCCTATATTGTTAAACTTGCAGTTAATAACAATTTGGCTGTTTTAGAACCTCTTGTCTGATGATCTTCATAGTTGGTAGGGTCAGAAGGGACCTGAGCAGATTATCAAGTCCG